GTGCAGGTCCTGGCCGCGGGGCGCTTCCTGCTCCGGAGCCGAGGATGGGCGCCCCCCCCCCTCGCCCCGCCGCCCGGCGGATCCCCTGTCCTGGACGTGGGCTCTGCCCCCGTGCTTACGGGAGGACGTTTTACACGGAACTGGAGGGCGAGGGTCACCACTCCTCACCTGCTCAAGTTGCAGGGCAAGCAGCTGGCACCCAGCACCCTGGGAAGACGAGCCCCAGACCTTGGCTCGAGTGCAAAGGAGCCTCCAGCGCTGGGGAACTCCGGATATCTCGGCCTAGAAAGGATCGCAAACCTGAGCCCTGGGGATGGGAGCGGGGAGGGCACTATTTTCATTCGTGTGACCGTGGGCGAGCCACTCGACCACCTGAGCGAGGGTGACTGTCTTGGGAGTGCTGGCTACCCTGTCTCCGAGGCCAAGGTGAAAGGGAAGTCAGGTGTGCAATGGGCACTGCATGAGTGCTGGCTTCCTGGCTGGGCCTCCCAGATGCCTAGGGGCAGTGAAGAATGCCTGGGGTGGGTACAGCTTGTCATGATCAGAGTGGTCAGTTTGACCAGAGAGATCTATTTGTCCCTTCCCCAGGGAGAGAGGGTCAGGATGAAATGTTCCTGTATGCATTCCTTCCAAGGGAGCGCTGGGGCCCCCTGAGTGTCCCTGTTTATCTCAAAGCAGTGCCGACTTCTTCTGCATTGCCCTTTCTTAGAAAAGACTTCAGAGGTATGGGATTGATTCTTAGAGACTCAACAGGAAACATTCCTCTGTGAGCCCTCAGCCAGTGTGTGACTTATGCCCATCCTGCCCTCCCAGGCCCTCACTGCCTGGCTCTGGGCTGTGGAGGGCTGGTTGGCAGCGCAGCACACCAGCCTGCTCTGTAGCATGAGGGTGAAGTCAGAAGTTAATGCCCTGGCCTAAGCCTGCATCCAAGGGTGGGCTTTTACCCCAGCCAGGCAGAATAGCCTAGGGCAGTGGTGGTAAACCTACCACCTGGAAGCCACAGCGGGCTGTTTGTATCATTGAAAGCTCTAAAAGGTTCGCCATCACTGGAGGGGTTACAAGGAGCTGAAATCCTAGCTGGCCACTTGCTGGCTGCGTGAAGCTGGACAGGTCAGCTGTCTCCTCCTCTGTGACTCCAGGAGAATAATGTGCTGGCCTGGGCGGGGGATAGTGGGGCTAAATGAGGGAAGATGCGAAAAAGCCCCTAGGAAGGGACCTGTGTCTGGGGTACACCATGTCATGGCTGTACCATGTCCTTAGCCTCACATAGGTGCCCATGAAGTTGAGACCCCACTCAGTATCCTCAGGCTGGGGGCCTGAGTTTTGAAGCTGGATGGACCCAGCTTTGGTTGCCAGCCGTCTGCTAGCTTTGTGACTGTGATTTCGGTATCCTGTCTGTGAAGTGGGCTCGGTGACGTCTCCGGCCCGAGTAGCTGTGGAATGAGAGGAGGCTGCACCTGGAAGTCCCTCAGCTTTGTTCCAGGGCCACAGTCTGGGCCTGATGATCGCTTATGCTAACCTCACTCTAGCCCAGAGGCCTCCCTCCCATGGATCCCCAGAAAGCGGGTACACCATGATGTGGTCAGATTTTAGACGCTGAAGTGTTCACAACTGTGCTGACAACCTGATTTTCTCAACTTACAACGTCAAGGAGTTCTTTGTAGTACTCTGTTCTCTCCCGCTGTCCTCCGGGTGACTTACTTCCACACTCTTTCTGTCTGCCAGCAGGACCTGCAGTGAGTGAATGACCTGACGCTCATGCTGCACACTCAGAAATCCTGTTCTGTTTCAGGGCTGCAGTCTCTTCTGCCATGGAGGGAAGCAGACAGATGCGAGTGTCTCGGCCGTACAAGATCAGTGAATCATCAAAGGTCTGTGAACGGTGCTCACCGCCTGTTTCTGGTTAAGTGTGCACAGGCTGACTTGGATTATTGGTGTTGCTGATCCCCATGACAACTAGCAGAGGTGGAAACAGACAAGGAGCAGACAGTGCAGTAAAATCAGAGGCGGCTTGGGACAAGGGATATTTGGGACACCCCGGCCAGGTTCTCATTTTCCACCGTGGCATTTCAGAGCATCCACTGTGTCACAGCTTGACTCACTTATTCTCTGTACCAGTGGCAGGAAGCTGATTGGACAGTATAAGTCCCAGTTGGCCGGGTGTGGTGGCCCATGCCTGTCATCCCAGCACTTTGGAGGCTGAGGCAAAAGGATCTCTAAGAGTTCAAGGACAGCCTGGGTTACATAGTAAGGTCAAGGCCAGCCTGAACTATATGGCAAGACCCTGTCTCACTCACACACATGTGCACGCACGCATACACAGACATACACACACAAGAGAAAGAACTAGGCATGGCCAGCTGGCTGGAATCTGAGCAGTCTGAGCCCAGGTATGGGGAACCCGACCTGAGCAGATTCTCGAGAGCATTTGGAGCAACTGTGATGCCCTTAGCTGTTACAGGTAAAGACTGGGGGCGTCACTGGAGGGACAGTCCCCATTTTCTTATGTCTCCTAGTTATAAACACTCACCGTGCCCTGTTTTCTGTAAAAGTGTCCCTTTGCTACATTGACATCTATAAAATTCATGATAGAAGCCGCCCACATGGAAGGAGGGAAATGAAGTAGGGAGGAAAAGAGTTAAATTTTATCTGTCAGATTTTAATATCTTAAGCAGTATAACAATGAAAAATGTTAATAATAATACTTGTTAATTTATGTTATTAATATTTTAAAATTCTTGGTGATAGATACACATGTTTCGTAATTATCTGGTACTTTTGAGTAAAAGAGATACTTATAAAACAAACAAAAACGTGTCCCTTTAGAAGATTTTCTTTTCAGTACTGAGGGTTGAACCTAGGACCTGTACACTTTGCTCCTGCATCTCCTGCCTTATTTTTATTTTTATTTTTTGTTCTGGTACTAGAATTGAACTCACGACCTTGCGTTTGCTTTGCAGGCACTGTGCCACTGAGCTAAATCCCCAGCTCCCCCCCTTTTTTTTTTTATCCCCTGCCTTTTTATTTCATTTTTTTATGTTGAGACAGGGTGTCATTAAGTTACTCATCTACCCAGGCTGGGCTCAAATGTGGACTCCTCCTGCCTCAGGCTCCCAGAGTGCTGGGATGACAGGAACACTAGAGATTATATGTTATGATTACTTCAGATCACGTGTTCTCAGGGTGACATACTGTCCCCAAGGGGGTGAATATTGGTTCTTGGAGTGCAGAAGGAATTTCATCCTTTCTGTTTAAAGTAGAAGCGTACCGGCATCCCCTAGGCAGACAGCAACGTGCAGGCGTGGCGAAATTTGGCATGGGGAGGTGGCTCTTACGACAAAGTAGTTTAAAAAGCTTCTTAGTGGAAAATGAGAGAGGAGCAGTGTGCTGGAGAAAGAGAACTGTGAGCAAGGGGACAAGGCCCTGCGGGTGCGGAGAGGAGAACACGCGGCGTCACTTGTGAGAGGGGCCGGCTCCCCGAGAAGGTCTCTGTTGCCAGGCCCTGCATTACTTGTGTGAAAACCCAGACGCTCTGGCTGCTCTCAAAGGGGCTTTGTTTCTGGCGCTAGCCGCTGAGACCGTGTCACTTTCTGAGTTTGATAGCGCTGGAAACCTTTGTCCTTGCCAGCCAGATTCTGAGTTGGTTCCTCGCTGAGCGGAGCTTTTAAAAATCATGTTTGCTAGCCATCGGTTGCTTGTGTTTGTTTTTTAACATTTTCTGAAGAAGTGTGTCCTTGCATTTCTAGACACAGAATATACCTTGTAGCCAGCACCTAGATGGGAAAAAATAAACTGGACTTGTGGGCACAGCCCTGTAACCCCAGCACTCACGGAGGCTGAGGCAGGAGGATTGCAAGTTCTAGCCCATCCTGGGCAACTCAGTGACTTAGTGAGACCCCCTCTCGAAATAAAAAGGGCTGAGGGTGGAGCTCAGTGGGACGTCAGGGGTTCAGGTCCCTGTACTGGAAAATCAGAGATGGGGAGGGAGGGGAGGAGAGAGGGCAGCAGTAGCCTTGGGACGCTCCTGTCCCTGTCTCTAACTGCGCCCTCCCTACAGGTGTACCGCTGGGCCGACCACCCCACCACGGTGCTGCAGCGGCTGAACGAGCAGCGGCTGCGCGGCCTCTTCTGTGATGTGGTGTTGGTGGCTGAGGAGCAGCGCGTGCCCGCGCACCGCAACCTGCTGGCCGTGTGCAGTGACTACTTCAACTCCATGTTCACACTGGGCATGCGCGAGGCCTTCGAGAAGGAGGTGGCACTGGTGGGCGCCTCGCCCATCGGGCTCAAGGCCGTGGTGGACTTCCTGTACGGCGGCGAGCTGGCGCTGGACGGCGGGAACATCGACCACGTGCTGGAGACAGCGCACCTGCTGCAGATCTGGACGGCGGTGGACTTCTGCTGCGAGTACCTGGAGCAGGAGGTGAGCGAGGACAACTACCTGTACCTGCAGGAACTGGCCTCCATCTACAGCCTCAAGCGACTCGACGCCTTCATCGACAGCTTCGTGCTGAGCCGCTTCGGCACGCTGTCCTTCATGCCGGCCTTCCTGCAGAGCGTGTCCATGCAGAAGCTGTGCCTGTACCTGAGCAGCAGCCAGGTGCAGCGCGAGTGCGAGCACGACCTGCTGCAGGCGGCCCTGCAGTGGCTGACGCAGCAGCCGGAGCGCGAGGAGCACGCCCGCCGCGTGCTGGAGAACATCCGCTTCCCGCTCATCCCCAAGGGCGACCTGCTGCACCGCGTCAAGCCGGCCGTGTGCGCGCTGCTGCCCCGTGAGGCCGGCTGCGAGGACTTCATCGAGGAGGCCGTGCGCTACCACAACAACCTGGCGGCGCAGCCTGTGCTGCAGACGGCGCGCACCGCGCTGCGCACGGACGGCGAGCGCCTGCTGTTCGTGGGCGGCGAGGTCTCTGAGCGGTGTCTGGAGCTCAGCGACGACACCTGCTACCTGGACACCAAGAGTGAGCAGTGGGTCAAGGAGACGCCGCTGCCGGCCCGTCGGAGCCACCACTGCGTCGCCGTGCTGGGCGGCTTCATCTTCATCGCAGGTGGCAGCTTCTCGCGGGACAATGGAGGGGACGCGGCCTCCAACCTGCTTTATAGGTATGACCCCCGCTGTAAACAGTGGATCAAGGTGAGATTAAAGGCGATTCTTTCTTTCCTCTCCAGGCCTCCTTGGTTCCCTTCGCCCAGCCTTGACCTCCCCTTCCTCCCTCCCCTGGGCCCTGACGGCTGTGCCACTGTGAGCAGGTGTGAGGAGGAAGTGGCAGCCACCTGCCCCACCAGGGCCGGGGAGAGGAAGGGCGGGTCATGTCCAGTGGCTCCTTCCCCACGTGCAAGAAGGCCCTGTGCCTGTACCTGGGCTCCAGCGCTGCGGCCACCGTCCCTGGGTGGCCCTTGAGCCCTTGGGATGTGGCCAGAGCAAATGAAGAGCCACATTTCCAGTTTTATTTAATTTTAACTAAACATTTTAAGTGTAAACAGCCACAGGAGGCTCTTGGCTACCAGATTGTCGTTCCTAGATTCCTCATGGCTCATCATCTCTGTGGGGCTTTGGTCCTGGAAGGGTTTTCAAGAGGCGAGAGCCGGGCATGGTGGCACAGGCCTGTAGTTCCAGCACATGGGAGGCTGAGGCAGGAGGACCACTGCGAGTTTGAGGCCAGCCTGGGCTACAAAGTGAGTTCAAGGCCAGCCTGAACTACATAATGAGACCCTGTCTCAAAAAGACAAAAATACAAACAAAACAAGCTGCAGAGCATCTGCTGGTCCTGGCTGTGGGGAGAGTGTAAGCCTAGACAATCGATCAGATCGCACCCCAGCTCCTCTGAAGGGTGGCTGGGGTGTTTTGCCGTGCCCACACCCTCTCCGGTGTCAGTTTCCACCCTTGAGAACTGGCGTGGCCTTGGAGGTTGGGGGACTACAGCCCAGGGTGACTGGCACTTCATGGAAGGGGTCCCCGTGTCCTGCAAACCCCTGTCCAGCACCCCCTCGAGGAAAGCCAATTCCTACCTTTATACTCACAGCTCCTCATTGCTGCAGCATGGGTTCTGGGGGACCCTTCCCTTTTATTCCTGAAAATCAAAACCCAAGGCCAGATCCCCTGCTTGGAAGAGCTCCAGCTTCAGAGTCAAATCTTAAAGCTTTGTGTGGGTGGTGGCCATGACGTGTGGTCTCCTGTGTGTGTTCTGCTGAGACTATTCAGAAAACAAGAGCCAGGTGTGGTGGTGCACACCTGTAATCCCGCGTGATGGGATTCATCTGTGAGGCTGAAGCAGGAGGATGGTTGCAAGTTCGAGGCCAGTTTGGGCTACAAAATGAGCTTAAGGCCAGCCTGAACTGCATGGCCAGACCCTGTCTCAGCAGAACAAAAAAAAAAAGCAAGGAAGACTGAGTCTTCTACTTGTACACTCTGTCCAGTGCCACTTTCTGCTGTTAACGTGGACAATTGTCATCGTTGATGTTTAAAAATAGCTGCAGTTGCCCGGCGTGGTGGCACATGCCTGTAATCCCAGCACTCGCGAGGCTGAGGCAGGAGGATCGTGGTGAGTTCAAGATCAGTCTGAGCTACAAAGTGAGCTCAAGGCCAGCCTGAACTGCATAGCGAGACCTTGTATCAAAAAGAAAAGAAAAAACGAAAACAGAGCTGAGGCTGGGGTGAGGCTCCGTGGTAGATACAGTGGGCGCCCAGCACAGAGCCCGGGCTCCATCCGAAGTGCTGTGAAACAAATCTGATGGAGGGGAAGAAGGCAAAGATGATTTTTTTTGAATTTCAGAAAGCTGCTAAGTTGACAGTTCTGAACTGTGTGTCCTACACAACCTTAGTCCACCAGGTTGGTCACGTGGCCAAACAAGTTCGGGGAGCCATGGGCCCGCACCCCCTTGGGATGCGCATGTCCTAAGAATCCCAGGGTCTGCCAAGCTGCTCCAAAGGTCCCTGTCTTTCCTCAGTTGAAGTCCTGTTCGCCTGTCCACTGTCACACCCTCCTGGGCCGTGGCCTCTGGGCACTCAGTTGGAGGTCCCAGAGCCAGGTGAGAGCGGCTCCCTGGTCGGGGGAAGGTACAGGTGTCTCGCCTCTGCAGGTGGCCTCCATGAACCAGCGCCGCGTGGACTTCTACCTGGCCTCCATCGAAGACACGCTGGTGGCCGTCGGCGGCCGGAACGAAAACGGAGCACTGTCCTCTGTGGAGACCTACAGCCCCCAGACGGACTCCTGGTCCTACGTGGCTGGCCTGCCGAGGTGAGTCAGGGCTGCAGCTCACTGCTCCAGCCTGACATGTGTCCGCTCGCTTTCTGCCTGTCTTGGCCTCAGGTCTGGGGGACGTCCCCTGGCTTCTCACACATAGCAGTAGGTAGGCTGGAAGGGAGAGCCCCGGCGCTGGCTCAGGCTGCCCGAGGGCAGGTGTAGGCCCGGCCACCCGTGAAGCCCCCAACTCTGAGTCCGGCTCGCTCCTGAGATCGCAGGGCTGAGTGCTCAGTTGGGATAGTGAGGACTTGTTGGAAGACCCCATGGGGTCTGGGCAGGAGCGCGAAGAGGTGAGGAGTGGGCCAACAGCGTTGCTCATGGGGCCTCCCAGGGCACCTGGCGGGACTCCCGGCACAGTAGCGCGTTCCTTCCTCCTCGCCCCACAGCCTCCCGCTGTGTTTACAGAGCATCCCTCGTCCTCGCGAGGTGGGCAGAAGGTCCTGGAGCACGCACTGTGGGAACCAGTCCTGGTGTCTCTGGAACTTGGTCTCCGAGAGTGAGAGGGGTGTGTGGGGCCTGAGGACCCGTGACTTAGTCACATTTGGGGTGTGAGTCCCAGCCCCTCAAGGCCCTAGATGACAGGTCCAGGTAGGAGTTCTGGCAGCCCGGGAGCAGCGTCCTGATCCTCGCGGACAAGCCCTGACTGTTATAATCAGCACGGCGTGCAGAATCCCGGCTGGGCCCATACGCCATCTCCTGGAAGCCAGGTCCCTGAGTGGGGCGGCTGAGGGGCATGGCCTCTCCCCTGGTCCCCTGAAGTCTCAGTGCTCTGTCCCCCACATACCAGATGGGGGAGTGGAGCCTAACAGTGCGGTCGGTGTGCGTATGAGCGTGGCAGGAACCGCATCGGAGCCTGGCTGTTTCTGAGTGGATCTTGCGTGTCCACATCAGAGTGAACACACCCACTGTGTGACTGCAGGTGCGCGTGCGGTTCTTTGCCTTCCTAATCCTCGCCTCCGCTGTCAGGGGCCTCTCTGTCACCGAGAGCCCCACCCAGTCACCTCTGTGCCCCTGGGCTCAGCTTTTGGGCACGCTGTCCCTGACCTAGCCCCCTGCATCCCTGCCTAACTCGGTCATTGCTGCCCAGAACATCATGATGTCATTCCCTGGGCTGCTTCTTTTAACCTTTAATTTTGGTTTGTTTTGTTTACTTTTTTATTTTATTTTTTGGTTTTTGTTTGGGTTTTTCAGACAGTCTCTCACTGTCGCACTCAGAGTCACAGTCTCACAGTCTCACAGAGGCAGACTCACAGTCTCGCTCTCAGGCTGGCGTGGAACTTGAAGTGATCCTCCTGCTTCAGCTTCCTGAGTGCTGGGATTACAGGAGTGAGCCACTATGCCTGGCTACCTTTTAAGTTCTTTTTTTTTTGGGTTTTTTTTTTTGTTTTTTTTTTGGTTTTTCTCCGGTACCGGGAACCGAACTCACGACCTTGTGCTTGCCAGGCAGGCGCTTTGCCACTGAGCTAAATCCCCAGCCCCTAAATTCTTTTTCTTCTCGTTTTCAGTAAACTTCTTTAAAATTTTATTTATTTATTTATTTATTTATTTATTTATTTATTGTCTTTTTGAGACAGGGTTTCAGTATGCAGTCCAGGCTGGCCTTGAACTCGTAGTGATCCTCCTGCCTCAGCCTCCCGAGTGGTGGAATTACAGGTGTGCGCCACCACACTTGGCCTTTAGGTGTACAGAAAGTTGAGCAGAGAGCACCGGGTTCTGCATGTCCCTCCTCACACGCACAGCCCACCCTCAGCCTCCCTCATGGGCACGTCCCAGAGGTGTTGCTGAGGAACCCTGTGTGGCAGGTCCACCCGTGTGCCACACGGTCACGTGTCCCCATTAGTGCCCAGACCCCCTGACCTAGCCCTGTGTTGCCTCCACCCCCTGCCCCCAGCCACTGTCTCCAGCTTTGTCCCTCTCAGGGTGTCCTCATGGTTAACTCTGTTCCTTCCTCCTGGAATGTCATCGGGTCAGGTACGTGTGCCTGAATAGCACTTTGTCTCGGGGTTCCCAGCCACGGCAGGAAGGGTCCCGGCCAGGTCCATGCGGGGCTCCCACATGGGGAGATGGACGTTTGGAGAAGAGTGAGGCCGGGGCCCTGGCCAGGTGTCCTGACCACAGGCTGTGGGCTCACCTGCCTGCTCTCTTCCTTTTGTCCATCGATGGCTGGGTCTGTAAAGTGCTCATGGGAGCTGCGTGTGGTGGCCCACAACTGTAATCCCTGCACTGAGGAGGCTGAGGCAGGCGGATCACCTCGAGTTCAAGGCCAGCCTGAACAACATAGCATAACTCTGTCTCAAACAAAAAATACTCACAGGGCACCTGCTCCCGGCCTTTCCTCCTTCAGTCCTCACAAGCCCCATGGGGCAGGTTGCTTCATCTTACTGAGGATAACACTGAGGCCCCAGCTCAGGCAGGCGAGGCCACTGAGCCCCACCCTGTCCTCGGTCTCCACAGGTTCACCTATGGCCATGCAGGCACCATCTACAAAGACTTCGTGTACATCTCAGGAGGCCATGACTATCAGATCGGCCCTTACCGCAAGAACCTGCTGTGCTATGACCACCGCACGGACGTGTGGGAGGAACGGCGGCCCATGACCACGGCGCGCGGCTGGCACAGCATGTGCAGCCTGGGCGACAGCATCTACTCCATCGGCGGCAGCGACGACAACGTGGAGTCCATGGAGCGCTTCGATGTGCTGGGCGTGGAGGCGTACAGCCCGCAGTGCAACCAGTGGACGCGCGTGGCGCCCCTGCTGCACGCCAACAGCGAGTCGGGTGTGGCCGTGTGGCAGGGCCGCATCTACATCCTCGGCGGCTACAGCTGGGAGAGCACAGCCTTCTCCAAGACCGTGCAGGTGTACGACCGTGAGGCCGACAAGTGGAGCCGCGGGCCCGACCTGCCCAAGGCCATCGCGGGGGTGTCCGCCTGCGTGTGTGCCCTCAAGCCTCGGCTGGAAGACAAGAAGAAGAAGGGCAAGGGCAAGCGGCCCCAGGACCGTGGCCAGTGACCCTGCCACCTCCTGGCACCCCGCAGCCACCCCACCCCGTGTCTCCTGAGAGCCCTGGTCAGGCCGTGTGCTCCTTAACCGCAGCTTTCTACTTTTATAACTTTCGCTATTTCTATGATATCGCAGCCGCCAGTTATGTAGACTTTACGTAGCATCCTGCTTGAATAATCACCCCGGGGCCCAGGCAGTGTGCACTGTTCCCCCTGACGGACCACCTTCCACTGGGGCAGGCACACGGGGGGCTCCTGGCCTCCCCGGAATAGTGCACACCTGAGGAACACAGCAGTGTTTGTAGTGAAACTTGGGGCCTTGAAGGACATCACATTCAGGGCTTCCATCTTTGAAAAGTATAGATTCCTGGGTCCCACCTCAGAACTGTCAAATCTAAAACCACCAGGGAAGAAGCCAGGCATGGTGGGAGGCTGGGAGGCTGAGACAGGAGAATCACCACAAGTTGAGGCCAGCCTGGGCTACACAGTGAGTTCGTAGCTAGCCTGCATTACACAGTGGACCCTGTCTCAAAACACTTAGATAAATAAAATTACTGGGGAAGCCCCAAGACTATTTTCACCAGTTCCTTGAGCTCGGAGCACCGGCCCTGTTCGGGAGTCACCAAGAAGGCTGTGGATGGAGACGCAGACCCCATGGACAGTTGGGTGAGGCGTGAGGACCTCTCCAGGAGCCGCGCCTGTTGTTTCTGAACAACCATTTCTCCTGCCTGGGAATCTGTAGATTCTAAAAGATTCCAGGTCACCAAGGAAGGAAAGAAGAAATGACACAAAGCTCTAACATTATTCTGTAATTTGTGCTTGCTTTTCCGCTGCCCTAAACTTACTGGCTCTCCTGCCAATGGAGTGAGCTCCCCAAATCTACTTTTCTTTTCTTTTCTTTTTTTTTTTTGATACCAGGAAACAAAACTCAGGACCTTGCACTTGCCAGGCAGGTGCTGTACCGCTGAGCTTCGTCCCCGGCCCCCACATTTATTTCTCAGGAATGGAAGAGTGAACATGTGTCATTTCCTCTGGCTGCAGGGCGGGGCTGGAGCCCTCGGGGAGGCCAGTGTGTCCTGGCCCTGGACCTGCTGCTGAGCACTTCTGCCACGCAGGGCAGACTCCTCGGTGAGCGTGACTCTGTCTGTCATTCCCGAGTGGCAGGGTCAGGTGAGCTGACTGCCAGGCTCCTGCAGGTGACACCTGTCCTTCCGCCTCAGCCATGGACACACGTCCGGCTCCGTTGCAGATCTGCGGCTGCACCGCTTCCAGAACAGGCCTTGCCGCGGACCACCTCTGCTGACCACCCTTGGACTGTGGCGGCTGCGGGCCCACTGGGCGCAACGTGAGAGCTTGGATGTGTGTGGCAGGGCTGAGTCCTGAGCCCAGGGTGTCGCCGGCAACCTGTCCTTCAGTAGAGAACTGACTGCGAGGTGAGGCATCGAGAGTCATTGTGAGCCCCCGAAGAAGCAAAACCGCTTCATTCCCCTGCTGCTGTCTGTGCCAGCTCCTCCCGGCGAGGCTGCCTTGCTTGGGATCGGCTGCGGTATCAGCCAGGAGAGGCACGGGCCGCTTGGGAGCCACCCGCCTCAGTCCCTCGTCATCTGGCAAGCAAGGTGCCTGTTTAGTGATCGGCGTGTGGCAGTCCCAGAGTGGGGCGGTTCTGAGAGGCACCCACACCGACTGGAGGGCTCTCGGCCCCGTGCCGAGCCCTGCGGCCTGGGTGTGTTAAAGGCTCTGAGAAGGCCTGCATTCACTGCTCACTGCCTAGTTAGCTTTTGTGAAGCGCTCTGAGCCTGGTGCCCTTCATTTCATTCGTAGTCCCAGACCTCCGTGAAGAGTGTTGGGGAAAAGTTTGACTGCCTGAGGGCCGGCAGAGGGCACAGTGTGGAGGGCCTGCTGTCTTTGCCAGGCTTGGCTCAGCCCTCGCATGGAATCTTACGGCAGCCGGTGCACACAGGGTGGCCTTGACCCCGGAGCCCCTGAGGTTTAGCTTAAGCCAGTTCTCCCCATTTTTGCTGCTGGGGCTTGCCGAGGACAGGGCTTGCCTGGGACAGCTCTGGCCTTGCTCCTGATTTTCTGGTGCCTCGTGGGACCCATGCAGCATCCTGCTCCTGTACTTCGTGGAGTCTCTCCTGGCACTGTTGGCGCAGTTTGCCGTTCAGGTGTAGAACCTAGTGGCGTTGAGGCTGAGAGTGTCCCTGTAGGGAGAGGATGGACATGTGCGTGGCAGCTCGTGGGCTGGTGACAGCTGGAAGGTTTCCAAGCCTGGGGGACTACCTGGGTCAGCTCTGTTCCCTGGGCTTTGAAGCTGGGAATTCACTGTCCTGTGTGATCCAGCTGGGTGGAAGGGTGGGCAGAGTGGTGGGCTGGGCAGAAGTCGGTGGCCTTGGGAAACATGCATTTGGGCCACCGTGGCAGCAAACCACTGTCAGCAAAACACCACGTCTGCCATTGCATTAAGCTGTCCGTAATCCCAGCACTCAGGAGGCTGAGGCAGGAGATCGCTGCAAGTTGGAGGCCAGTCTGGGCTCTGTAATGAGTTCAAGGCCAGCCTGAACTACACACCGAAATCCTATCTCAAACTCCCTGCACACAAAAGACATAAACTGTCTGTGCTCTGCGCTTTGTGGAGCTTTGAGAAAGCCTGGATTGTTTTTCCTTGACGTTTCAAAATCAGAATGGCTTTTATTCAGGTTTGGATTTTTCTTATTAACAGAATTAGAGGGCTGGGGATGTGCCTCGGTGGTAGAATGCTTGCCTAGCATACATGAGGCCCTGAGTTCAACCCCCGGTACCACCAAGAAATAAATAAATAAATAATAAAAGACTTAGTTACAGCTTTGTGTTAGCGTAGGTCTGGCCCTCATCTAAGTTGGGACCCTGTTGGCATAAGACACGTGTGACACCAAAAGGAGCAGAGACTGGGAAGCTGACGAGTGCTCATTATCTGCAGGGGTCTTTCTGCTGAAATGTACATCGATTGGCCAGATGTGGTAGCATGTACCCAAAGTCCAAGCTACTTAGGAGGCTGAGGCAGGAAAATCTGCTTGAGCCCAGGAGTTTGGGGTCAGCCTGGGCAGCATAGCAGGAACCATCGCCCCGAAGAGATTCTGTGTATAAAATCAGGGCGACCCTATTGTGCTTAGCCCTCAGCTAGCCAGCCTAACACTCTGCTGTTGTATTGAGTCTCCCAGCAGGACTCTCACACCCCCGACTGGGGCGAGAACAGGTGTGTATTTTCTGAATGCCCCGCCGCTTCCCTCGAGCTGTCCAGTGGCTCAGGGGACTCTGGAAGTTAACTCTGAGTTTGGCAGTGGGAAGGCAAACGCCAAAGGCCAGTGCGTCCATCCTCTGAGGCCATGACCGTGGTCGTAGCTTGGGGGAATTACCCCGTGGCTCCAGGTACCTGGCCCCTTAGCCAAGAGGGATCTTCCGGTGATGAGCAGCTGCAACCCAGGCTGCCCGGTGTCTCTTGGATACTGTTCTCTGAGGGGTAGTGGCTGGCATCTGGCCCCAGCCTAATCTTCTGCAGCTTACGTGGGACAGCTGCACGGGCGCCTGGACACCTAACCCTGCATCTGCCAAACCTGGCTGTTTTTAGAGTTTTTTGAACTGTTTTGATACTTTTTGATACAATTTGCTAACCACCATTTTGTAGCCCACCTGCCAGAGCCTCTACCCCTTGGCACCCCCTGAGTTTGTCTGGGTGAGCAGTGTCCTTGGCCAGGCCCAGGACTGCTTCTGTGGCCTTGGCTTTGGTGAGCTTGCCCATCTCCGTGGTTGCACTGGGGCTACACAGAGCTGTAAGTGGGACTGTCCCGGGCCTGATGGACCAGAGGGCAGGGGACACCCTCCCAAGGGTCTGCATTTCCTCCCGCGCGCTGCCTCTGTGCCATGTGGCATCGGAGGGACTCCCACAGGCTGGCTACGTGTCCCCTGCCTCCTGTGGGTCATTTCTCCGTCAGGTGTGCCTGAGGTCTGGTCTGTTCCCTTCCACCCCTTCTCTTAAATACATAAAAGCAGTGAACCACTCTGGCACTTGGTAGACACGCTGTCCTCAGTGGACGGGTTGTTCATTTCTTTTTGTTTACATGGGTAGAATTGATGGATCCTGAGGGGGCTGCAGGTGGCAGGCTGTTGTCCTTTGGTTGCCTTGGTCGAAAGGCAGCCAAATGAATGTACAATTTTTGGCCATGGAGGGACAGGCAGAATATGCCCTTCCCTGTCGGTTTTCCTTAAGAAAAGCAACACCAGCTTGTAGAAGCTATGGGCAAGCTGTGGTCCAGGTTTCCTCGTAGGGAAAGCGGGGGACGGTGCTTTGGCTTAATCATCAGCCATCATCCCTTTATAAATTAGTTAGGATAGCTGAGGATTAAGGAACTCATTGGTTACGTTCTGGTTACTAATGTCACTGAAGCCTGTAATTTGTGTTTATAATTTGTTGCTTTTCATATTCGTAATTTTATGACATTCAAAGTTTTTCTCTTTCTCTTCTAATTTTCTGCACAATGCTTTCTTTTCTTTGTTTTTAATTCCATACAGAGTATTCAATTCCTGCAAACACATTAAAGTAATTTGCCTGCTAGGGTATGGTTTATTTTATAATTACATTCCTGGTCTCGTGTAGTTATTGTAACTATCTCTATTTTCTCTGCCCCTTATATATGAGGCCCAGCTATCATTTTTAAATGAATCAGATTTCCTTTTAGTGTTACGGGAGCCTGGGACATTTTGATTCAGCTTTTATTATGCTCCTAATTACTGTGTTTACCTTGGAATTTCATTCAGATCTTTGATTGCAGCGCTAAGTCCCCTGACCTGAAATGAAAACCATTCACTTAAATTGTGTCAATTGGGGTAATTTGATTTGAAAGGAGAAAAGGAGCCAAAGGAAACATAGTGTCTGGCAGGCGATTTGCTTCCTTCATCAGGAAGGGGTTGGAGCATTGTGTGGGGACAGAGGCATTCTGTTCCCGGGCCTCAGGACGGGGTGCCTCCCTGCCCACGGGGGTTGGTAAGGCCACCTGCAGACACGGTCACCTCTGTGCCCCTGCACACCTAGCATGCAGGTAGAATTTGCCGTGGGCCCACTGCCCGGGACACTGGCTGCCCGTTGCTAAACTTCTCACCTGGCTGCATTTCTGCTTCTGGAGACCCTTAGCCAGGGTGAGATGCAAAGCTCAGGGGAGCTACTGCACCAGACTCTGACCGACCGCGCGGCCTGGCCAGGTGGCGTCGTCCTTGTGTTGTCACGTTCTCTGGAAAACAGGACCTGTGGTAAGGGCTTGGACACAGGGGGGCCCTTTGAGGGAGGTGCTGACAGGACAGGACAGAAGAAAAGCTGGGAGCCAAGTGCTTGGTCCTTTGCTGCCAAGCAATGCTGAGAGCAGTCACCACGATTTCCGGCGCCAAGGAGCCTGGGCTTCAGCGGGCCCAGCTCACAGCTCCTGTCACAGTGAGGGTGGGACACACAGGTGGCTCCTCCGGCCTAACTGCGAGGACGGTCAGCTGCGCTCCAGCGCCTGGCCTCCTCTCTCCCTTCCCTCGCCGCTTTTCCCCTCCACCCGGTCCGCATCCGGGTTCCTTACACAGCAGCTGAGGCGCCAGAGCAGATACTGCGGGCGGCTTGTCCCAGCCCAGCCTCAGAAGCCACGGGCCGCGCCTTGCCTGCGTACCTTCCCCCGGTCGTCACGAAGGCCCCGCGGGCTCAAAGGGGACCCCGCTGGCAGCTCTTGCTAGGGGTGTGGCCGTGCCCAGCCCAGCACACCGAGCGTCCCGAGCCCGCTGCGGAGCGCCCAGGCCCGGCAGCCCCTGCGCGTGTGTGGTGGAGCGAGCAGTGTGACGAGAGGGCACTGCCCGCCCAAAGCCAGCCTGAGCCGGCAGGGGAGGCCGCCGTGGCCTTGGCTGGACTCAGGAGGGCCACGGGCAGACCCCTCGGCCCCTGTGAACAACTCAGGAAAGACTGTGCCCAGACGCACAGTGAGTGCAGAAGGCACGCCAAGGAAGCCCTTGGCCTCGCTCTGCCACCGCAGAGACGGCTGTCACCTTAGCCAGAGACCGCACGGGCCAGGCGGGGCAAGGGCAGAGCGAGCCGCGCTTGTGGGTGGAGGCCACGCCTATGCCTCGGGTCCCGCCCACCGCCTTCAATCCCGACCAATCGTGACGCGCCTCTGCACCCAGGAGGCTGGGTGCCAGGCGATGCCACGCGCTGAAGTCCTGAAGTCTGGGTGCAGCCTCTGAGGCCCGCCCTCCCGGAGGTCTAGCTAGCAGGGGATTTTCTGTTTTTAACCGCGTGGTGGAGGAGCAGGAGGCATGGACAGGGCACAGGCTGGGCGTGGAGACGTGGGCAGGTGGAGCAGGAAGGGCAGGAGGCCCTGGGATTAGGGCGCCCTCCGCATGCCACGACCCGGAGCCCCCTGAGAATCGGGAATCGGTTACACCAGGCTCGTGGCTGAGGCCTCAGCCACTTAACTTTGCCTTGTGCTTTCATGGGGTGGAATTGGGTCACGCATGGCACCACTTCCTGTGGAGGGGACCGGACACCTGGCTGTCAGAGCAGCCGGGTCCAGGGATGCCTGCTGCGGTTTGGACACCGCCGTACCCAAGGCAAGTTGTCAAAGACTGGTCTCTATCTTGGCCCCGGGGGGCGGGATGTGGAGCCTTCGAGCCTGGTGGGAAGCGGTCAGTGGGCCTTGCTTTAGAAGGAGGCTGTGAGGTACCAGTCTCCTCCTCCCACCCCAGCCATCCCAGCCCTAGGACCTGCCGCTCCACACGGCCCGCAGCAGCGCTAACCATCCAGGGACTGAAGCCTCAGCCAAAATAAACATTTCCTTGTGCTTAGAGAGAGTTTACTGGGGATCCAACCCAGGACCTTGGCACTGAGTACATCCCACGTCCCCCTTTTTAACATTTTGGAGACAGAGCCGTGCTAACCTGCCCAGAGTGAGATCAAACTTGTGGTCCTCCTGCCTCTGCCTCCCAGAATGCTGGGATTACAGGTGTGCCGCTGTGCCTGCTACCAGTTCCTCTTTTTAAATTGATCTAACTCAGGTATTTGTTACGGTAATGGAAAGCTGAAAACACAAAGCTTCTATGTTCTTTCTCTTAAAAATTAACATACAAAGGCCGAGTGTGGTGGCACACACCTGTAATCCCAACACTGGGGAGGCTGAGGCAGGAGGATCACTGCAAACTGGAAGCCAGGTTGGATTATATAGAGAAACCTTGTCTCAAAAATCCAACAACAAAAAAATTAAAGCCCATCTCAGCCGGTCTTTAGTGGTCTCCTGAGAGCTACAGACTGCGAGCTAGCGTTCAGACGGCCCTGCCGAGATTCTACTGAGGCTGCGGAGATTCTACTGAGGCTGAAGGAAGCGAGGAGGCGGTTCAGGGCTGCGTGATCGCAGGGCCCAGGGCGTCCTCCAGGGGGCGCTGAGGAGCAGCGGGACCAGCCACTGCCCAGCATCTACGGAACCTGTTGGAGAAACCCCTGGCTTCGACCTGGACAGACCCAGGCAGCCAGTCCAGGGCGGGTGGGATGAGCCGGGCCGGCCCGGGCGCTTTAGCAAGCCCTCCCACTGACCACTGCTCTGCAGAGGCAGCCGCCCCTTCTCTCCCCTGGCCTCCCTGGGCGGAGTCCCTGTCCATCTGCCAACCGTGCCAGTTTGCTCCGGCCGAGTCCTGAAGCCCAGGCTTCCCCCAGGTCAGCACAGGCTGCTGCCCATACCGAAGCTTCCGGCTGGAGAGGGCAGGCAAGGCCGGCGTCCCTCTGCAGAGCCCGCACTGCCCTTTTCTACGGAAGCGGCAGGCAGCCTGGGCCGCAGGGCGCTTGAATGGGCTGCTGCATCTGCTGGCTCTGTGGCTCGCGTTCGGTCCGGATCGCCTTGCAGGCTCGCTGCCATAGCGATTCATCCGTCCAGCAGCCCTGGCGTCCAGGATGCTAAAAATACAGAGCGTGATTTCCAGCACAGGGTGCTCTGGGCCTCTTTTGTTCTAGGCTGAAATTCAAGAGCCTGGGGTTCCAGCGGGAGCGCACCGCCCGCAGCACCAGACAAGGCCTGGTTTGGTGGTGTCTCCTGTTTGAGATTGGAGCTTGGCGACCGGATAGCCCAGGGCCAGTCAGGGTGTGCAGCTTTTGGCCTCACTTGGCTCCGTTACAGCTCCTGGCACGGATGCTTCGGCCCTTAACATTTTAGCTCCCTTTGCTCTGGCAGGAGCTGCCAATGACTGGGACTTCGAAAGGTCCTTGTCCTCTAGGCAGCAGCTAAAGAACCTTGTGGTCATGGAATGTCTGGGGACCTTAGGAGGCAATGTCACCCTCGTAGACAGAGGGCACACATTCGTATAACACAGCCACTGAAAGTCCTGAAAAAGACACCCATTTAGAACCGGGTGTGGGAGAGCATACCTGTAATCTCAGCACTCAGGAGGCTGAGGCAGGAGGACTGCTGCGAGTTCAGGGCCAACCTGGGCTACAAAGTAAGTCCAAGGCCAGCCTAAACTGTATAACGAGACCCTATCTCAAAAAAAGACCAGCCCAGAACACACGCAAGACTCTGCCTCACAAAACCCACACCCATCTCACTTTGCAGACACCAGCATCTCCCATACATTTTTGGCCCTGGGCTCCTCCCCGTTTCCTCTGTTCCTAGCTTGAGGTAGTTTCTGGACGTGGGAAGTGGGAAGTTCTGATGACTCGGCGATTGTCCTGTCACCCACACAGGAAGCTGCCATAAAACCGCCACGAGGATGCTCAGCTGAGCGCCCGGCCAGACCCCCAGCACAGCGGCGGTTTTCGTGTTGTAGATCTACAGTGCTGACCCAGGTAGTGCATTAGCCACGGCGCCTTCTCTGGGTCTGCCCGGCTGGGGTGCGGAACCTGGGGTGCGCTCAGTCGTTACCCTAAGGTTTCTGAGCACACGCTGCTGGGTAGACTTGGAGTAATGCGGGCTGCCGTCTGTGATGCGGGCGGCCTTACCCTAATAGCTGAGGCCTCACAGAGTGACAGGGGACTCTGCTGGCAGCAGTCTCTGAGCTGGAACGGCCACGTCAGCTCTTGCCTGAGTCACCAGCTGGCTAGCTGGACCTACAGATGCCGCACTTGCCGGGCTCCACAGTCTAGTGAGTTGTTCGCGTGTTTGTGGCACGCACTGGGGCTTGAACCCAGGGTCTTCGCAGTGAGCCACATCCCCATCCCTTCATTTATTTATTTAGTTTAGAAATTTGAGGCAGGGTCTCGCTAAGCCACAAACTTGCAATCCTCCTGCTTTGGCCTCTCGTAGTGCCAGGATTCTAGGCGTGCGCCACCACACCCAGCTCTGAATCAATGATTTACAATCAGTTTATCTCTACATGCAAATCTACCTCTGTGTTAGCTTTCCCTCACTATGGCAAAATACCCGAGACAGACAATTTCTGAGTAGGAAAGTTACTGGAGTTACTGTTCTGAGAGTCTGCTAGGAGCATGCTACAGAGGAAGCCTTCCCCTGCGCCTATGCGGCTGGGAGGCCAGAGGGAGAGAGGGAGGGGCCGATTTCCCTCCGTGGCCACGCCCCTCCATTGGCGGGGCTGTGGGCTGTGAGCCCAGCCTTCTACACATGCACCTTGGGAA